CTTTCCTGCAATCTCTGTGGTGCACCTTACCCTACATAAACTCAATTTGGACTAAACCATTATAAGTGCCACCACTTACTAAATCTCTAAGTGTGTTGCGTATGTATGTGACATGCATAAGAAACGGGCGAAGTGTTGATTGGACTGTCGTGGCCATCATCTGGACTTTTCTGACCACACCCTGAGGACACCTTGCATCGTTCCATTCTTATTAAATAGTCGTTTGAATCATCTGGAACCCTTTCACTCTTACTCTGATATTCCTCTATCATCTAGAATTGCTGCTGACATCTAAAGTGACGTTTCAAACTTTGTATTTAACGGTGCCACAAACATGGCAGCGGAACTTGTTTAGCCCCACAGATCCTTTGGCAAATGGACATAATAAGAGACAGTTGTAGGTTGGCCTTGTTGCGTGTTCATTAATAAGAACATGCAGAGAAGCAGACAAGTTGGAAACCTTCCTGTTTCAGTTTGCCTGACGGGGCATTAATTTAGCTGCTGCTTATTCTAAAGAGCTCCTTAGGTGACTTCTTGGTGAAAAGCAGTTGTACCTTTTTTCTTCTGCTTGAGCTCTATTTAAATTTCCTTCTTACCTACAATACGTTTGCTGATGTGCTGGTCACTCTCACAAAATAGTACATTAGGCTGCTTTGAAATTTGCACTGCACTATAGTGTACGTTCATTTATTTATCCCAAAGTGCTGTCAACCAGTAGGACTGTACAGATATGAGGATTTGAAGGAGAAAGGGGGAAACTCAGCTCACCTTCTGTTGGGATTGTGCTTCGGCTGCACAGAGCAGCTGTGCGAGGTCAGGAAAAGATGCAGCTTCTTTAAGGAGCTGTTGGGAGGTACTGTCTGGGTGCCCACGTGGCCTGCATATCACCACTTTCCCTTCATTCCTGGGTCTTTGACCAGCCCTGTAAACCAGCCTTCCCACAAACTGGTGCTTTGCAGAATGGGCTGGAAACCTCCCCTAGGTAGGGAGCTGGACTACTGTCGGTGGTCCTCCGCTCTCAAGAACACTGGGCCTGCTATGAACATTTCTGGCATTAAATTTGCTTCTTGCTTTTTTTCTTGTGAAGAGCTGAAATTGGCAAAGTGACTTTTACCCTAAACTTCAGGAATTAGTTCAATGATGTGTGTGTGTGTGTGTGTGTTTTGCAGTTGGTCAGGAATATAGAATGTGGTGTCAGCCCATTAAATAGCCAGACTAAGAAACTAATGCCATGTAGGTCAGGGCTACTTTTATTGTAACAGCTATAGTAAGAGAATCTTGCAAGTCTGAATGTGCTTCCCCGGCCCATTGATCTTTGTGAGAGCTAGGGAGCGTCCTGTCTGAGAAGTTTACTCAGGCTACAGTTCTGGCCCAGACTCAAATTTCATTTATCTAACTATTGTCTTGGTTGTGACTCTTCCTCCTGTCCTTCAAAGCCATTCCCTCCTTCCTCTACACATGGAAGCTGGCAACAATTTTGGCTACCTGGGAATCCCATTTTTTCCTCTCTAGGCAGGTTCTTGACTCTACAACTTCTGAGCTTGTGCTTGAAAAATATTGGAGAAAATGGCAAGTAGAATTCCAAAAGCTTGAAAGGTGGGTGGAAACAGGAATTCTCACTTCTTCATAGCTTTTTCCCCTCCCTTAAGACTAGTTAAATTAGAAGAAGATATTAAATTACACAAAAATAGTAGAAACCCAAATTTTTTTTTTTTAAAATGAGTGCAACTCTGTTTTTGGAGTTCCCACTTCTCACAGAACTTTCCTTGGGACTGGCCATTCTCCTTGCCCCATATAACCTCTACCTTTTTTCCCCAAGGATTGTTTTAATGAATAAAAATAAATACTTAATTGGGAAGTTGGTATCCTGATATTACAAATGAAAAGCTCTGTTTTTATTTGGAAGAGTTGTCCTTACCGTGGGAAAAAAACAAGAGAAGCTGGGTGTAGGGAAGCGGGGAACATCCTCAGGAATTTGCTTCTGGTAATTGGATGTGGCAACCATTGGGGCAGCCATTTTGTGAGAGTGCCCACAACATGTGCCAAGGGTTCTCACTGACTGCTAAAAGAAAAGGGCTCCAGATCCGTGGGTTGTGCCAAACCCAGCCACTTAAATCAAAATGCAGATTACTGGCATGCAAAACATTAAATTGTTCACCTAAAAATCAACTCAGCTCTATTCTTGTCCCATTCCTATTGGGAAAGAATGCCGTTGGTTTTAGAACTTTTTTCCCTAGGATTTTACAAAGGGGGGTGGTAGCTTTTCAATTAAAGACCACCTCTCCAACCTCTGGGGATGTTGGTCTGCAAAGTCCTATCATCCCCAGCAAGCATGGCTGAGCACCAGGTTAAGGTAAGGCTACATTAGTCAGAGGTTCATTTCCTTCAGTGAAGGTTAGATATAATTCAGAATATTGGGAGCAGAATGAAACAAGAAAAGCTAATGATCTGTTTTAGGTTTTCTTTCATTTCAACATTTCCCCAGTTGTGCATCTATTATATTGCTTCCTTTTTGATAGATCGCTTCTGTCTCTTGTTTGGCTGATGAGATGACATTTCAATGACATTTTTACAATTAGTACTTAGAAGAAACTAGCTGCTTTTCAGTTTTATTATGCCCAGTCTTTTTCTTTTAATCCTTGCTCATAAATGTCATAAAATGAAATTTTAGAATTTTATTAAAATTACATTCTGTGCTTAGAATGAGGATACATGAAGAAGTTTTTTTTTCTCACCTCTCTCACTTAAGTTTGTAGTTAAGCCTTTTCAAGCTTTTTGGTAAGTGCTTGTTCTTTAAATCTGCTGCTCCACACAATATGAAATTAGCTGCTGTGGGATTTGGAAATACTTTAAATGAGTTTTTTAAAATCCTGGACAGTAATTTCTTTGCTGATGAGTAAGGGAACGCCCCCTTCCGAGGCCAAAGACCAATGAAGGCCAGTTCTTGGGAGAGAAAGACCTCCCAGTAAGACCCTTGACAGATAGCTCTGATGCTACTTCATAGATTAGTAAATAGTTATAAATATTGGTCATGGTTGCAAGCAGTTTTTTTTAAAGTTTGGACACCGGAAGGAAATGGGTCTGTCATGGAGCTCTGGCTGGGATGCTCCTAGGTCTAAAAGAAATGTTGTTTCCAGACCTTCTATGTGCAAAGCAGGTGCCGGCCACTCAGTTATGGTGAATCCATAGGAGGAAGTGTGATGCCTGAATAACATAATGAATGAAGGGTGGGGAAGAAGCTTTGAATTGAGCTTGGTTCCTGAGCTTGACTTCCAGATAGGCTCCTTGGCAGCGGTACTGAAGTAGTTGACCATTGCTGGCTCCTGGGATATTTTTTTTGTCTTCCCAGTCAAGCTACCTGGACTTTCTGGGAGGTATCCCATCCAAGAACGGGTCAGGGCTGGTGCTGCTTAAGTGTCAAGCTCAACTAGGTGCTGCCCCCTGCTAGTGCTGCATATTAAATACTAGGGAGCTACAGAAAGCTGATTCTGCCAAGCTTGTGAATTAGGAAAGAAGATGCCTTTGGCCTTAGTTTGTAGAAATAGGTTTTTGAACCCCTCTTTTAAATCGTTACCAGAATTTACTAGCTAGTAGAAATAATTAGGCTGAGTTGATTGTCTGTCTGGAAGGTCTGCAAAACGGACTGCACCAAACACCTTAAAAGATCTCTCCCTGTTCTAGATCCCATTGGGTGAGGCTAAATAGCCCAACGTGCATACTTAATCCTGAGCAGGATCTGAAATGCAAATGCTAACCCTTGCTGACGCAGCTGGGCTAGAGATTGTCCATATTCATGTATTACACTAAGCCATGTTTTAACTGCAGTTGACTGGACTACAAACCACAAAAGCTGAGTGCTTACAACATGCAAAACCCAAACAAAGCATACCATGGTTTAATGGGATGTGGGACTCCAGCCCCTTGTGTTACTTGCCTGGAGTTAGAGGTGTAACAAGGGCATTAGGTGACACTCAAGTTCTACAGGCAAGAAGACATTGGTGAAAGTAAGCATGGACCTTATGCTTCATATTCAGGGCTTCTGTTGGACAGAATAAAGCCAGAATTCCCAAACTGTGGGACATAAGGAAACAGGCTCCCAGAAGTAAGAAAGGTGATAATAAGAGTGTGACCTTGGAGCTACAAAGGAGTTCCTTGTTGTTTCTCTGCCTGCCTTGAATCCTTCTAGGTTGTCATTCTGGCCATTGTCTTGTGGGGGTGGGGGAGGGAAGGAGGGAAGAAACATTTAATTATTCTCAAGGCACAAATTTCAGTGGAACTTCTCAGAAGTTGCTGCCAACCTGAGTTGCTGCCCAGACCTTGTCGTCTTCTACCTAGAGACAATCCAATCTCAAGCAGAAAAATAACAGAGGGGCTGAGCAGAGGCAGGGAAGGTCCTCACTCTGCCTACTCTAAAAAGGAAACTCTTCAGCTGTGTGTGGGACAGGGAGATAAGAATGAATTCAGACTGTGAAATAAATTTACAGGTTCACCTGAGCTATCAGAAATGGGGGAGGGGAGGCAAGCTTGGAGTAAAATAGTGGACAATTCCTTCATGCTGAGTTTGGAACTTTGCAGCAACATGTAAGCGGTGATTTCAAATCAATGATTTGTGAGGCTTCAGAGGCCCTGCCAGCAGTAGCTCTGAGTCGACTTTTATGGCTTTGCCGTTCTTTACAATCCATACACCATCCTTCTTATTTTATTTTTAAAGGGCTATAAGCTGAGATTTAAGAGGCATTGTGTGAAATTGGGTGGGGAGATGCTGAGAAGCTTTCTGAAATGGTGGGCCCAGTCACTGGAGACCCCACCCTCTGTATGCTAGAAATATGCTTAGGCTCCTTAAATGACCTGTGAGCAGCACATCAGCTGCAGAGCCAGCTGGTAAGAAACAACCAAGTTTATTCCTGCACAAAAGAGGAATAAAAAGAGAGAGACCAGTGTGTAAAACTGTGCTCTTAATTGTAAAATAACCAATGTGTGTTTGCTTGCTTTTTTTAAAGGATCCACCCTCCTGAATACTTCAAGGAGAAATATGCTATTAATGAAGTACGCTATACAGATGAGGTGAGTTTTCCACCTTTTGCCAAGGTAATGCAATATTTGGGGATGGGTGGGAGGTCATAAATTTTCAGGTTGATAGCTGACCCTGCAGGTTAAAAGAGACTAAAATGGTGGTCTTTGAATGACACAACATGGAATAACATGACACAGAAGCATACGCAATGAGGAGAGAAGAGAGCAGTAGGCCAGCTCAGGGCCAGTTCTTAAAGTTAAAGGGTTCTGATCCACTAGCTCTGGCTGCTCTCTTGCCTTCTCCTCTCCCCTATCTACAAAATGGAGTTGCAAGGCCATCAGGATGGCTGCCCCAGTTTGTGCTGGTCTCCATCAGGAGCACCAAAAATGCTTCTCAGGATAGAGGTTTCTTCTTCAGGACCAAAGTGAACACAATTAAAAGTTGGTTTGAGAAAGTGGAATTGGAGTGAAACCCTGGCCCAGGATTAATGTTCATCATCCTAGGGAAAGCAAGCAGGTAGAGACAGAAGGTGGAGCATTCTGTATAACAGCTCCCCCTCCACTTTGTGGAACCCCTCTCTAGGATGGTTAGATCAGCTGATTCCTAATTGTCTAAGACAATTCAACCAGGCCCCAAATGTTTATGTGATTCCCCCCTCCCACCACATCTTGTGCTGGGATGCTATAAAAGCCAGAATAAAATAGAATCACTGGAATTCACCTTGGAAAAGGAGAAATAAAATCAGAAATTAGGGATGTGCAACATGCTGTGTTATGGAATATTCAGAATATTCTAGACAACACTGGAATGTTCCATTGAATGCTGCAACATCCTGGACCATGCCAGTCTGGCCATTTTTGGGGTGGTCTGGAAGTTTTATGGAAGTAGATCTCCCCAAATGGGAAGTATTCCAGCCCAGCTTCCTGGGCTGGGTTATTCCCATCAGAGCCATATCTGCTAATTGCTAACCCTAATTGCCATCAGATCTCCATATCCCAGAAAATGGCCAGAATTCTCATTTACTGGCAACTCAGACTAAGCTGATCCATTGCCCCTGACTGGAGGGGCACTGGAACTCAGTAGAAAGGAAAAATTAATTCTCAAGTTGTTTGCCTGGGAAGTTGAGGGCTTGCTCTGAAATATAGACTTTTGCCTAGAATTAGTAGAGGAACTTGGTTCTTATAGAGCAGCATTTTCCAACCTTGGCAACTTTAAGATGTGTGGACTTCATCTCCCAGAATTCCCCAGCCAGGATGTCTGAACTTCAACATGCTGGCTGGAGAATTCTGGAAATTGAAGTCCATGCATCTTAAAGTTACCAAGGTTGGAAAACACTGCTATAGAGTTTGGGATCTGACAGGGAATTTTGCATTCTGGCTAATTCTGCTCTGTTTAGTATGGCTTTGTGATGTAAGGAATTAGAATTCTGTTATGAGTAGGGTTGCCTCTCCTTAAATAATCTAATGTGTCTCAAACATATCCCACTGTTTCTGGCAGCAGTTTTATTTTACAGGGTGTGTTTTAATTGTTTTCCATTTTTTACTCTGTCCTTTCAATGGCAATGTTGTTTTTTTTCTATGTTGCTTGAAATCAATGACTGAATAAAGACAGGGATGTAGGGAAACCCCAAATACTGAAATAATTTAAAACAATATTTTCTTGTTTTAAAAGCAAAACACTGATTCATCTAGTCAGTTCAATTTCTCAGTCCTAATTTGGATGGGTAAGTTTCCCCCGTCCTAAAAGAGGCCATGGATGAGTGTTTTCTGCCAGGTTTTTAATAGTTAAGCCCTCTTTCTCATTTTTTTTTCACTTTTTCAACTAAAGAAGCTTTTATTTTTCCAGTCCTGTCCCTTTTTGTAGCATATAATTTTTCCTTAACAGATCTAAATTTCCCTGGCCGTTGGGCAGAGACCATTCATAAACAGAAATATTTCTTAAACAATTATTTTTCCCCCTCGGAGCCCCGCTTTGACTGTCTCAAAAATTCCACTTTCCAGCTGACATCCCAAATGCAGCTTGATTCTTGAAATAAATATGCCTGTGAAATAGTCTCTTTCTAATCTGATCATCCCCTTGTGCTGTCTGTGAAGGCGGCTGGCAGCCTACCTGGATAGGAATCATGGTTCTTGTTATATGACTTCATGCGTCAAATACCATAGTGCTAGTTAAGGATTTCTTATCTGTAAGAGTGGATGACAACCAGGAATTTGTGCTTTGGCGCTTCATATCACATCCATTGGCAAATTGTCAGGAGTGCTCTCAAGAAGTACAGTGCTTTGTCTTTGGAAAATGCAAAGCAGGTAGATTTCCTTTAACTTGTGGAAATATGGAGACCACCTTTCCTTCCCCAACCTTTTACAGGACTGCCACTGGATTTCCATGGGCTGTGGATAGGCATGGAGAAATAATTCTTAGGTGAGAAGGTATCTATTTCATCACTTTCTCCACAGCTTTTTCATGGTCCTTGGAGTCCCTAATGGATGTATCCATGTGCATGTCCTGAGCTCAAGTATTGTTAAATATAAACATAATTCCCTTCCACAGAAATAGGACAGATCTCCAGACCCACCTCTCTTGGATCCTCTATATTTCACCCCTTCTTAAAAGCAGCTTTAAACAGCTGTCTGTTCAGACAGGCTCTTTGTGTTTAATGTGCCTAATTGATTTCTTCTTGTTTAATTGGAGACTGTTTGTTTTTCTGCTTACTGTTCCTTTTGCTGAATTGATTGCTATATTAAATTGCCTCTTCCTCCACCACCTCCTGCCCCCGGCTTGAAAATTTTACATTGATAGACAAGTTATAAATGGGATTGCAGCCAGATTAGCAAAATTTTAGTCAATACTTTGTCTGAGTTTCTACTGATTGATTTTTTTTTTAACCTTGAAGATGTATATAAATGGGGCTGAATCAATAGATACTTTTCAGATGCTATACCTCCATTTGGCAGCCCCTGCAATGTGGATTTCCATTTATGGCATCAAGTAGTTTTATTAAGAATAGTTTCTTAAGTCAGGCAGAGAAATATTTTTTAATTGGGGCACCTGTTTATTCAACCCAAAGCTTTATACTGATTAGACAATTAAAGGTATAGCATAAACTCTTAAAGTAATTTTTCAGTGCATTCCTATGTGTAGAAAGCTTTGTAATTTGCCATTGTATGTATCATACTGATAGCGAACTCATTATAGAGAAATAATATGTAGCCAAAAAAACATTATTCACATTCAAGAATGAAGGTTTGGTAAGTTTCAGTAACTCCTAAGATTTATTAAGTACACATGGACTGGATTTCTGCATTGCAAGAAGCCAGCTTCCCCAGCCTGGTATCCCGAGGTATTATAACTGCACCTCCCATAATTCTGGGCCAAGCTTTGATCACACTGGCTGTGAATTGTAATCTCAACACATCTAAACCATAAGGTTTGATTTTGACTAGGGTTTATGTGCACCCCTCTCCTGTAGTTTGTAATTGGGTTTGATGGCTTGGTTAGGTATGAACTGAGGCCACTGTGGCTTATTCAACAAACCTCAGTTAAATCATGGGTAGATATATGAACCAGTCATAATCTTTGGTGGGTGATGGGACACTTAACAGAAGAGAAAAACATGAATTGTAGCCCAGCATACTGCTTTACTACAAGATCTTGATTAAGAATCCACTTGGAGATAGATATCTTCTAGCAAACTCAAAGCTAACCTTGGCTAATGTGTTGTACCACATGCTGTGGTTTTTGAGAGAAAATTTTAGAGGCATCTGATTAAGGTGTAGAAAGATGTAAGTTTGATGATGTTCTATTTTACTTTTCAATCTGTTTTATTCATCCTCATATCCCTCCTGTGGGTCAAGTCAAGTCAACAGAACTGATGGCGGTGGGACCCCAGAGGAAGTGTAGAAGTTTGAAACCTGTTGTGTGTAAGAACTTGGCTTCCATATCTGATTTTAGCCCCAGGTTAAGGAAGGCTGTCTGAAACAAATGCTCTCTATGTTTGGTCTTTAAGTCACAGCTTCTTATTTTTCATCAAAGGCCTTTATGGAATAAACTCTTGGAAAAGGAAAAAAATGGCCCACAAAATAAAATGAAGTAAAATGAAATTAGCATCACTGTTCATGCCAACATTGTTACATTAATGCTATTTTATAAATAATGCCATTTCTTGCATAATGAACTGTTGTCCCTGCTAATTATTTCTCCTTTTCTGTTCTACCTTTTCTTTCCATTGTAGCAGAGAGGACTGTTTGCCAGGTCAAATTTATGCATATCATTTGGATTTTTTTTTTTTAAAAAAACTATGTAATAGGTTTTGAGAAGATAAAAATAGAAGTTCAGGATACTAAAAGTGTGCAAAATTTTTTGAATCTGAAATATGTTGGGTTTGAAACAAGCTATTGTGACCTTGAAACAAGATTATTTTGAGTTCAGATTGCTTCCAGAAGGTTGGAACGCTTACTCTGAGGTCAGTAACCCATTCTGAATTTATAATGTTTACTTTCAACTTGAAAGAACATTTGGAATTCAAACAGTTTCAGATTTGAAACATTTGGATATCTCTCCAAGAAACTCTTCCCAAAGATTGTTATATCAGGGTCGTTGTAACATAACCTTCCCCAAGATTGGGTAACATCTGGTGTCATCCAGATGTCTTAGGCTATAATGCTCATCATCCCAGCAACAGCATTAGTGGTCCTACCAGATGTGGGTTATGGGTACCTGGAATTGTAAGAACTGAAATCCAGGGATTATTCCAAGTTGGGAAAGGCTAAAACATAATGAGTGTCAATCTCAATTTGGGACAACTGCAATGCAAAAACAGTGGAAAATTTTCCTAGAGCGTGATGCTCTGCTGGTTGTGTGTGTGTGTGAGAGAGAGTGAAGGTGTCCTGCAATTTTTGTTGGTTTAAAACAATGTATTAGATTGTGTAAATGTATTTGCGCTTGGCAGAAAAGAAATGCTAAAACCAATGAACAGAGCTACTCAGCCTTGACTTGGCACTGTGAAGAAATGTTTCTGAATCTTTCAGCTTCTTAGAATAGTAATAATAATTTTAAAAAAAACTAGGAAAACAACAACAACACAAATTGGGCCCAGAGATTGGTTGGGCTCTCAGTGAAAAGGAAACGGAGACAATGTCATCCTTATTGATGTCAAATGAAATATGTAAACAGAGTGTTTGAGAATGAGCAGTTTAGAATCAGTTGGGCTATTGCAAGCTGATGGAACACAGTGAAGAGTATTTTCTTTTATTTATCTTGTCAGATTGCCAGTGTTTTGGCTTCGAAAAAACCTTCAGTTCTTCTTACTCTGGTAAGTGCTAAGATGCATTCCCAGGTGATGATATATGACCTAGAGGTATGCTTCTCCAATACGTTTTACTAAATTCTATAGCTCTTTATTTTATTTTATTTTTACGATAAGTTAGCAGTCCTCAGTGTGCTCCCCTGGCCTCCAATGCAGTCTTCTGCCCGGTTTCAAGATCCTTTGCAAACAATCCGTTCTCATTTCTGGGAAAAACCGCCTGCTCCATCTCTGGCAACTTGCTATGGGAAGAAAGAAAGAGGTGGCTGTCTGAATGCAGGAGGGTATGCATGTGGTTATGGTTGGTGCTGAACCCACCCACTTCTGGGAGGAGAGGGAGGGAACCCTCCCCATGTGTCCTAGCCTCTTTTTCACCTATAGCCAGGAGGATTGGCTACTAGCAGCTGCCTTCAGACTGCATGTCAACTGGTTGGACTGGGATGATTGGTGGAAAATATTGTCCAGGTGTCCCACTTCATTTTGGGAGGAGCTCCAGTGGTCAAGAATGGAAAAAGAGACCTGTGCAGTGAGAGCTGGTTTCAGATTTCTGGGCCATTGCAAAATTGCTTGGGGACAAATTCAAGGCCCTAGTCATGCTGTCTCAGTCTAAGGAACTTCATATTGTAGCCTTTGAGAATAAAATGATGTCAAGTGTTGGAAAACTGCATAAATGTCTCTGCTAGACATATGGAAGGATGACAAAGAGTGGGTGCGGTCCCTGGATCTATACCTTAATAATGATCATCCTCATCTTCATGGATGTGGGTTGCAGAACAGAAGAGATGTTTCCTTGCTCCTTTGTTTAGGGTGAAAGAGCATTTCTTGCCTTGTCCTGTGCCTGCTAATGCCTCCCCATTCCATGTAATCGCCCTATTGTGCCAGAGAACCAGCTGTCTGGAGAAATCATTTTCCCTCTTCCTGCTGGGTTTCATTGGTTGCCCTCGAATGAGAGGGAGAGAAAACAGGATTGAACTAGAGGTGGAACTGAAACAAAAAAGCATGATTAATTTCTTTGAATTACAGAAGAGGGAAGACCAACATATGCATAGCCTGTATCTTGTGCAGGGGTGCTTTTAGCTTGCTCTGTGTGTGCTTCATCATGAATCACTGTTTCCCTTTACAGGCCTTCTTCCATCCAGATGGAAGTGACCCACCTGGGGCTCCTTGGTTCTGTTATTAGGGGACAGGTGGTTGCTGCATCTGGAGCTTCCAGAGAAAGCCATGGGACAGAATGCTGTATTTATCTGAAAGGGAGAGTAGTTTTTTCCTCCCAAATAATTCACTTTAAAATAGCAGAATCATTGTAGGTTCACTAAAAATGTGATAAATGGAGTCATATTCTAATTAGACACTTTTCTGTTTAAGTTTCCTGGAGAGGCAGCAGGTTGTCTAAAGAAGCATGGCTGTCTTCCTTTTAGGTCAATAAGTAATATATCCATCCTTCCCAACCTGGTACCAAGAAGAGAGTAGGGGGAATGATCAGAGTGGAAGTTCAGCTCCCAGGAGGGGGGAAGGCAGTTGGCAGAAGGCCTGGTCTCTGTTGCTTTTAGATTGAGCAGCTGCTCTAGAACTCATATTTTGCTCTCCTTTTCCAGCGAGGAACTAATACCGACAGTGGAAGTGTGACCAGGGAAGCATCTTTTGACAAAATCAGCCAGTAAGTTACCTTCTGGGTTTGAAATATTCAGATAAATCCTAAGTTGACTAATGACTTGAAATACCTAGTGATCAAAAATAGAAGCCTCCCATTCCCAGTTCAGATGATCTGACTTCAACTGTATTTGTATCATGGTAGCCTGATTATATATGTAAACCCATAGCAAAAATTTGTGAATCAAATCATTTTATTCCAAAAGAACAGAGCAATTTAGCATTTTATGATGGATTAGAGTGTACTTGAAGCACATCTAACTTTTCTAGAAGAGGATCCTTGCAATAACTTTGTAAGGTAGATGAGTATTACAGTATGCAGAACAACATGCCAGCAAGTAACTTATTAATTAGCTCTGAGCCCAGGGTTCCATTTCTGAGTGTGGTGCTGCTTTAGCTCTGATGGGAGTTTGTATGTGGCTGCTTTGTCTCCTCCATTTTTGTGTGACAACTGCTTTCCCCCCTGCC